TGAAAACAATGAAAAAATACTTTTCAAAATAAAACACACGTGTTTGTTGTCTCGGCAAAAACCACATGGCCGATATTAATTGATTTTAGTTGTGTATCGCTGAGTGTTGCAATTACAGATATTCAATAAATAATTTACGAAATATGAGGGTGGTACAATTTACCCGGCGGTACAATATACCGAACTCTCCCCTACTACCCGTTCGGGCTAAGTTTGCCGGTCCGTGGAATGCGCGTCTCCTCCCCCAACCCAATTAGTTAGTGATTAAACGCAATTTATGTGTCTTATTTTACGCAAATGAACAATTTTTATCAATATTAATAAATAAAAAATATTTTCAATATAATAATATGTAGTTTGCTATAGTTATAGACGCTTCCCTTCCAGTGACGTCATATCGCCAGCGGCAAACTTATCGCGAACGGATAGTATATTTGTTATAGTCAAACCTCGAAGCTCAGGCGCTCCTAGGTTTGACTAGTCAATCCTCAGGTCTGACTAGAAGTCTTAGTCAAAGCCCAAACATTTCGGCCTTTGACTAAAGAATGTTAGTCAAACCTAGGAGAGACTAATTTGGTCAGACAAACGTCGAAACTGAATTTAATGAAATCGGGGTTTGACTAGTCAAACCTCAATTAAGACTTTAAACTGAACTACACTTCATTTTGATATTGAACTTATTACATAGACTTTACCGACCGGTTCTCTCTTTAGGTGAAGGTACGAGTACAAATAACTAAACTTATTTACTTCGGTAGTTTATCAGTGTTTCTAAACCGATCTTGAAATTATTATTTTTAGGGTTCTGTACCTTAAAGGATTAAGGGTAAAAAAGTAAAAAAACTAAAACCCAACTACGACAAAAAACGACCCTGAAAAAGTAAAAAACAAGATTTTTAGAATACTGAACTGAACAAAGTTGCTAATGTAGTTGCATAGTAATTTTCATGTTTGGAAAACCGCAGTCACAAGTTGTCAAAGTGCTACGGTAGGTAGGTATATATGTAACGTGTGACTACGCCTTTCCAAACATGAAAATTACTATGCAACTACATTAGCAACTTTGTTCAGTTCAGTATTCTGAAAATCTTGTTTTTTACTTTTTCAGGGTCGTTTTTTGTCGTAGTTGGGTTTTAGTTTTTTTTACTTTTTATTTATTATTTGTACTATTTTGGTGTTAAAGTGTATTTGTGGCGCATAATATTAACAAAAGTTAAATTGATGATAGTAAAGAAGCTATGAACGAAAAGATGTGAATTATATGCAATCAGCCCATGAATACGGGTAAAGTGACAAGCAAATGCTAGTAATATAATATATATTCAAAATGTACAAGTAAAGCGCTTTCAAATGATACCAAACACGGCATATTTATCTTAACTTTATTTTTTTACTCTGTATGTTTTGTCCTCTAGAGGGAGTCACATTAGATTTTGTGAAACCCCATATAGCCTATAACCAGCGGACAATTAAGACGCCTCTAATGATATGTCATTTGTCGAATTCTGATAAGCAGTTTAGAAGTTACGAGGGAACAGATGAACATACATACATACATACATACATAGCCTGGCAAAATCATAACCCTCCTTTGGCTTTGCCGTAGTCGGGTAAAAACGGAACCCTATTACTACGCTGTTTGTCTGTCACCAGGCTGTATCTCATGCCTTTCCCAAAATATTTAGTTTTATAGTCACTTTAAAAATCATCCCCATTCGCCATATAACAATAAAAGAGTCGTACGGAACCCTTCGTACGTGAATCCGATTCGAACTTGGTCGGTTTTCTATAATTGCTGCCGGCCTCTGTAACGCTGCGTCTACTTTTGACAGAGTCTGCCAGTCGTTTCTAGGATTGACTAGGCAAAGCCCGAAACAGATTATTTTAGTTTCGACGTTTGACTGAACAGTTTAGGCACTTCTAGGTTTGACTTAGTCAAAGGCCGAAATAAGAATTCACTTCGGGGTTGGCCCGAAGGATTTGGTCAAACCTAGGATAGACCAGTCATTCCGCGAAGAGACTGCATATCGACCTTTGACTATGACATATTGACTGAGGGGTAGAGTTTGCGAAGTTGTGAGACAACTTTTTGACAGTGCGAGCCATGGTCTTGGCAACTTCACTTTTCATACAAGTAAAAAAATATCCGACCGATATAAAAAAAGTGACCGACATAGCTCGCAGAATTGCCAAAATCAAGTGGCAGTGGGCGAGACACATAGCACGTAGAGACGATGGCCGTTGGGGCAGAAAAGTTCTCGAGTGGCGACCACAGGCCGGAAGACGTAGCGTGGGCAGGCCTCTTACTAGGTGGACCGACCATCTGGTGAAGGTTGCGGGAAGAATCTGGATGCGGGCAGCGCAGGACCAGTCGTTATGTAAATCCTTTGTCCAGCAGTAGGCTTCATTTCACTGAAACGAACGAAAAATATCCAAGTAATATCGGTAAAGAAAAACAGAGTTTCATTCGCTCTTAATATTAGTTCATTAAGGAAGTATGGATATAGATTTTGCTTCATCACAAGATGTTTTATAACAACAAATATGACAGATGATGATGGATGAGCCAGCCACGTTATACTTAATTAGTTCTCGAGTTTATCTCTCAAAGATAACTCATAGAGGTTTACTTAAGAGCTATGTTTTGTGTGTGTTTGTTCATGGGAGGTAATCTATGGGACAGTAAAAATAAAGAGCTCTCTAAAAAAACTGTGACGCAAACCTCAAAAATCGGCGATTTTTATTAATAACATAGATTTTATAATGCCTAGATAGATAGTAAGCTCAAGAAAAGGTAAAAAAGTATCATTATTCACATCAAGTAAAAAAAAATAATAAAAATTAAATCATTATGTTGTTGTTGTTGTTGTTTCAGCCGAAAGACGTCCACTGCTGGACAAAGGCCTCCCCCAAGGATTTCCACAAAGACCGGTCCTGCGCCGCTTGCATCCAGGTACTTCCCGCGACCTTCACCAGATCGTCGGTCCACCTAGTGGGAGGCCTGCCCACGCTACGTCTTCCAGCTCGTGGTCGCCACTCAAGAACTTTCCTGCCCCAGCGGCTGTCAGCTCTACGAGCTATGTGCCCCGCCCACTGCCACTTGATTTTAGCGATTCTGCGGGCTATGTCAGTCACTCTGGTTCTCCTACGGATCTCCTCATTTCTGTATCTCAAATCATTATAATAACAAATAAATAATATTCACGCGGATGCGAGCGGTGCAGGACCGGTCTGTCTTTGTGAAAATCCTTGGGGGAGGCCTTTGTCCAGCAGTGGACGTCTTTCGGCTGAAACAAAAGAACGAACGAACGAATAATATTCACACATTTCAAAACTCATGAAACTTTTCTATAGACAGGCTTTTTCGGTGCTAAGTTCTTAGCTACCTTCGATGTCACTGTGACGCGCTAATTTTGGTACAACTTGCTTGAAACAAACGCCCGTATTCACAAACGATGCTTGCTTAAATGAAGCAGCAAAACGAACGCACAGCGTTGAATAGAGCTCTGTGATTGGTTCGTGTCACTCTGTACGTCCACGTGCACTGTGAGACCTCATAGTAATGTTTGTGAATACGGGCGAAAGTCTTGCTTAGAGTAGGCGCACACCGTTGATTTTTCGTCGGCCGATAGTTTAGTCGGGCAGTTGATCAGTATGGGCATGTATGGGAGTGCGCACACTACGCCGATTCGATTTGGCCGATTCTACAACAATTTAAAATCGGGCACAACTTTCGGCCAACTAAAAATCAACGGTGTGCGCCTACTCTTACTTGAAGCAAGACTTTGTTTCAAGCATGAGTTGTGATTTTCACAAAATATTAAAACAAAAGAATGTAAAAATATTATGATGACGATTCTTGTTGTTTGTTACAACAATGGCTTGCTTATTTTGAACTTGACCTTCTTAGGGTTCTGTATGACATGAAAAATTAATAATTTTAACTTTAAAATAATGTACTGTGATATTTTTACTGAAAAAAAAATCTGTCAATCTACTTACATACAAAAAAACACCGGTTATCGTTATAGTTACGGTTAAAGTAAGGAGGTGCGCAGCTCCACCTTAATAAGTTGGCAAAAGCGACACAATAACTTAACTTTAACCGTAACCATAACTTTAATAGGTGTTTTTGTACGAAGAATTAAATGAAAAATCAAGTTCTTGGTGACTCTACCACAGATTTTTAACAAAGCGCTAGGTAAGTTAAACTGTACATCCAATTTTACAGTAATTTGAAAAGTTAGTTTTCAAATACGAGTATAGTGTCAAGCAAGTATCAAAGAACTTTTTTTTATGCAAGACAAGGCAGGTATTTGACCGCAATCGCACCTGGTGTTAAGTGAGATGCAGTCTACGATGGCACTTATCTGCCCTGTAAGTGCCTATTCACTCTCGCCTTGAAAAGGCCCGGATTATAGTGTTCAGGATAGACAGCAGCAGACAGCGAATTCCAGTCCCTAGCTGTTCGCATTATAAAAGATTTATCGAAACACTTAGAGCGAGCTGGTGGAATGTCGACAATGTAGAGATGAACTACCTAAATAAAATAAATCAATAACAGATCAGTCCCTATACAGATAATCGCATGCCCAATCAATACAAAAGCAGGTATAAAAATAAATGAATTTATTCTGACGTATGTCCCTTGAGTTTTTTTTTAGACCAATCGCATTTCGGCCTTACTTGTTTAGTTAGTATCGAGGTACCGGTCTGAAACGGTTGTGCTAACGGAAAAAACCGGAAGATAACGAAAGTTCCAAATTCAAATGAGAAATCGTGTCAAAAAAGTTTTTTTTTGTGTTTTTTTAAGTGAAAAAGTGACATTTTTAAGAAAAAATAGTGTTGTGAAAAAAACGTGACGGGAACATTTTTTTTTATAAAAAAAATCAAGTTAGTGTTGAAAATGAATTACTGTGATAGTTTTAAAAATAAATAAATAGTGTTTTTAGTGTAAAATACAATAAAAAAATAATTTGGCTAAACGAGACGTAATAAAACCGGCTTATTTTAAAAATTCCATTCAAATTAAAATTGCTAGAGTTTTCAAGGACACCGTTACTCTCGACTCTATGATCTCAAATTCACGAAAAAGTTCTAGAAAACCGTATCAAAGTTAACTAAAGTAGTTATTAAGACTTCCATTTGTTTCAATGAAAACTGATCAACACGTTGTAATTAAGGAAATACTCTGCCAAGACTATGCTGGATTTAGTATGGACGCCGTTAGCGCACAGAGCGGTCGCGTACACTGTTGGTTTATCCAACTTGGAGTTTTGGTTGGGAGCCATATTAATTTTATTCGCCTGCGAAATGGATTTGATATACTTCCACATTCTAAACTCTTTGGACGTGCACATGCTTTAAAAAAGTGAGTTCAAATATTCAAATTTCGAACTGGGAAGGAATGTTTTGAAAATAGAACGCCGGTGACTGCCAACAAGTAAACAAAATAGTGCGGCCGAAGGTCGGCAGTGGATTCGTTTCGGTTATCGATTTTAATCGATATGTGACAAACGATTTTTAATCGAGTGATTGTGACGTAGCACGTTGTTTTTGTTGTGAAGTGACAGTTGTGATGCCAGTGTAGTGGTACAGTGACTTGTTTCGAAAATTGTGAGTATTTTTTTGTTATCTTGTTTGTCTATTACATTATCCCTATTAGTAAAATTAAGAACCCAAATATTTTTTTAAAGATTTTTTTTTACTTCGGACTTTAGTCAGATTTTAACCACTAACCAAATTATTAGCTTAAAAAATGATTGACTTCTTTTTAATAAGACATCTATAATCCCAAAAAGGATTCATACGAACATCACTAGAGTCCTTTAAATCCCGCGATGAAGAAAAAAATCAGTAGAGAGAGAAACACAAAATAGAAAATAATGTATTTTGTGGTAGAGACGAGACTTTTAATCACTAGATTTATTTAATTCACGAACAACACTAAGTATAGTTTTTATCCCAGTATAAAAAGTCTCTATGTGTACCTACGACGCCATTTACTTTTATTTTCATGAACAAAACATGTCAGAAGCTGGTTTGTTTTGAACAGTTGAAAATATGTTTTCATGAAGGTCATGGCTACTTTTTGCGCTGAAAATGATCTATTCAGTCATTATTCAATGTTATGCAGGGTGTTCGGCGCATGGTTGGACAAACGGAAACTGCGAAGTGGAAAATGACAAGAAAACTGTTCCAAAGTTATTTTGTTCTGTTGTTAATACAGGCCCTATTTCTAAAGAAAGTTTTTATCCCAGTTTTTCTAAAACACGCACTTTAAATCCTTTCTAAGATCAACCTAATTTTTGATTAACAGGCCTCCCCAACCCGTCTGGCCAGCGTGGGGAGTGTAGGTCAGTCTTCCTTTTCTTTTTAAATATGGTCAGGTCTTGGATATGTCAAAAAAGGTTGCACAATTTTACTAAGAAAGAATCTTGAGTGACCCTGGCTGAAAAATTAAAAACTGCTAGATTAAAAAAAAATGGATCTGTCAACAGCACTGGACCAGCCCCCCTAGACAAAACGCACTTTTTGATCGAATCGAAAATCGAATCCGTCAAAACTCCATACAAAAAAGGGGCTTTTCGACCACTTTTAGACTGATTTGCGATTATAATTTGCACTTTGTCTAGACCCACAGGGGTGATTACTGTTTGTACTCCGAATGACTGTCGTGATCGTGACTACACCGATCAAAATGGCGCGAATATTTGTTATGCGCAACTTTAGGGCCCAGTAACTTTTGTATTTGTAGAGATATTTTCATGATTCTTTCACAATTATTATTAGTTTTACTTATATTTTCAAGATTTATTAAAAGAAAAAAAATTGGAAACTGTCCATTAGAGAGTCGTGCTTCTGCAGTGGAGACTAAACAATCAGGTCATCAAATTAGGTTAGCTAATATTAGTTTAATCCAAACGAGGTTGTGTTACAATGTCATTACAAATGATCGATTACATGGCGCCATTATTACAACATCTGGTGGAAAAAACCCATACTATGAAGCAAGATATATTTTGTAATAGGTAGGTACACGTTTTTCGTTCGAATCCAAAAGGCTGGTTTTAGTGTCACGCGGACCGTCCGGTGCGGACCCGCTCCGCACGCCAATCTGTATGAACTTCTAGGGAGCGTTTTAGCTGTTAGAGTAATGCGGTCCGGACCGCTCGCTCCCTAGCAGTTCATACAGATCGGCTGTGCGGAGCGATCCGCACTGACAGTCCACGTGACACTAAAACCAGCCTTAAGCTCATAGCAGATTTATCATCTCGAAAAGGTATCAACACCGTATTGCCTTTCGCGAGCTGTCATCGCCTTTCGCGCGCTGTCAACCGCATGGCGAGGTGTTTACGTTACGGTGCGGATAAGTGTGCGTTGCAATATGGAGTTTCATACAAAGAATACTGACCGCCTCGAGTTGATACGGTTACGATCGCTTTCCGGGTTGATTTTGCGACGTCCATTAACGATTTCAATAATCTTATTTATTTATTTACTAGCTTTCCGCCCGCGGCTTCGCCCGCGTGGATTTTTGTCTGTCACAGAAAAACTGTATCGCGCGCGTCCCTGTTTCAAAAACCGGGATAAAAACTATCCTGTCCTTTCCCAAGACCGAAACTATTTCTATGACTTTCATCAAAATCGGTTCTGTGGTTTAGGCGTGAAAGCAAGACAGACAGACAGAGTTACTTTCGCATATATAATATTAGTATAGATAGTATAGATTGGTACATAAGGTGAACTTGATGCCATTGGGCATTCTCGGCCAGTTAGCCTTTGGGAGAAACAGGAAAAAATAGTTTTTGCTCTTGACTTTATCCACTGACATTTTGATAAATACCGATTACGTGTAGGTTTAAAGTTTTTATGCCTATGAAGACCACATTTAGACCCAGAGACGGGTTCGATTCCCAGTGGGGGCAGATCTTTCTGTTCAGTTTGGTTGGTGATAGGGCTTCTAAGTCCGCTTGGCTAGCTACCACCATCTTACCTAAGTCTGTCGCCATAACAACAATGTTAACAGCATTGTTGTGTTCCGGCAGATGGAGGTAAGATAGCCAGTTCCTCTGTGGTTGAGGATTCCGGGTGAAGCTCGCTTCCAGCTTCCATTCCATGGCCATGATCTTCCTCGTTGTGAATAAAAAAATATGTAGCATTTAACTTTCATTTTGTTGATTAACCTTTGTTTTGTTTCGGATGACGCTAATTAATTTCGTAGCGGGTCCAATGCCAGTTTAACTTTCTTCCGGGACAAACTTCAATGGTTGGGTTATTGGCGCTCAAGCTGTAGATTTTGGCTACACAGGAGTTGCAGCGGTGGGCGATTTTTTCTAGTGTAAAAAGGTCATGAATGTGCAATATTTTGGTTACCCAACGATATTGTGGGAAACTCTATTTTTTTCCGTACAACAATGTAAGGGCTTTAATAGTAAAAACAAGCACATCAAGCTTTTAAATATGATCCTGCGTGCCCAAACAACTGCATGCAGGAAGATATTGTATGCTACTGACAACCACTCTTGTAGCGGAGTTTTGGGCTGACACTGTGTAGGTTTGTTGTCGACACGACAAGAAGAAAAATTAAGCTGAACATTGTAGCAACTTATGGAATTGTAATAGATTATATATTGCCACAAAAATGTGAAGGGTGACGTGCTGTCTTTACAAACAAAACAGTTTTCCTCAATTAACTTGTAATTAATAGCAGAAATGGTCGCTCGAGAACGCGGCCTTTTCTTAAATTACTTTAACACTTGTTTGTGTCATTGGTTCCAGTTGTATCTAAATACTTAAATAGTGAGTCAATCAGTCAGTCACTCAAACTGACTGACTGACATAGTGTTCTATCAACGCACAGCTCTAACCACTGGATGGATCGGGCTGAAAGGCATGCAGGTAGATGTTATAACGTAGGCATCCGCTAATAAAGGATTTTACGAATCTCCACTCCTAAGGGGGTAAAACGGGATCCACGCGTACGAAGTCGCGGGCGGCCGCTAGTTTTAGATAAAATAAATTATTCACTTAATTAATAGGAATAGAAATGTCAATTTAGGAATAAAAATGACAATTTTGGTATAAAATGTCAAATTAGGGATAAAATTGACAATTTAGGAATAATAATTACAACATTGGAATAAAGATATCCCATTAATCTACATACAGGACGAAAAGGCAACAATGTAATTTCACTTGGATTTTCCCAGAACCCAGAAAAGAAATGGGTTTATCAAAAATTGAGTTTTAGCAATATGAATTTCTTATTCTATGTATTTATTAACAATACTTGAATTTTTTTTTAATGTACATTATTTCATTAGAGGGTTTAATTTGTCCGTTTTGTTACCGGGATAAAAAGTATCCCAAGTTTTATTTCAGAGTTCGATTCGATTTTCATAAAAATACGTTTCCGTTGCAAGCAACGTGACATAATAACAAACAAACGTTGACATTGAATACAACTATTCTATGATCATGAATATTCATGGTGAAGGTAACCGTGACTTAGGATTTTATTATAATAGTACATACTTTGTTGAAGGTCCTTTAGAGGTAAAAATAATTAATAACACTTTTACGGCTCGGGATAAAAATTATACGGGATAGTAATAAAAATGACCTGTACTGGAAAATTAAAGGTTTAACACCGAAAATTACTTTTTAAATGATTATTATTTTATTTGATCTACAACGAGGAAGCCTGCATCTCACCTGATGGTAAATGACGATCAGACTGAAGGTGGAAGCGGGCTTCAACCACAGAAGAACTGGCTATCTTACCTCCAACTGCCGGAATACAACAATAGGGATGTTTCCTGGGTCAAAAAGCAAGAGTTTTAATTAGTCCGTCAGTTAACTTATCAAAAAATACACTACACGTATTTTTCACTTTATCAAACTATTGAAAATTTAAAGAGATAAAGCGCGCCAAAGTTCATAAGAAGAGGCCCGTGACGTCGATGCGTGCATAAAAGTGCCGCACGTTGTGACGTCGTGCGGAACTTCAACGCACCATAACTACCTATGTAATTATTTGTTAGATTGACAAATAAAAATATATTATGTGTCCAATATTTTTTGATATTAAACATGACGGACTAAAAAAATTTTTTTAGGAAACTAGCCTATTCTGTTAACATTGTTGTTATGGCGACATACTTATTAAATTATAGACATTGTTGTAATAGTTACTAATAATGTCGTTGCTGCTACACTTAGATTATCAATCTAAGCTGCTACAATGGTTCCTCAAAAGCTTAACTGCTAAAATGAATGATTTTTGTTACTGGTATAAAAGTTATACCAGTTTTCGGGTCCCTTTAATCATAGTCAGAACATAAAATGAAAGTTTTTCGTATTCCTATTGATAGTAGAATCGTTCGTTCGTTCATTTCAGCCGAAAGACGTCCACTGCTGGACAAAGGCCTCCCCCAAGGATTTCCACAAAGACCGGTCCTGCGCCGCTTGCATCCAGGTACCTCCCGCGACCTTCACCAGATCGTCGGTCCACCTAGTGGGAGGCCTGCCCACGCTACGTCTTCCAGCTCGACGTCGCCACTCAAGAACTTTCCTGCCCCAGCGGCCATCAGCTCTTCGAGCTACTATGTGCC